GTCGCCGCCACCACCGTCGCAGCCGACGCCGCTGCCACCACCGCCGACGCCGCTGCCACCGCCGCCGCCGCCGCTACCGCTCTTGGCCTTTGGGGGTGCTGGCGTTTAGGAGGGTGTTCGTCCTGCGGCTCCTGGCGTGGTCTGCTCCGGAGGGCCTGGGGGTGCCGCTGGTGCTGGAGGGAGTTCTCGCTCTGGGGGTGTTGGTTCTAGGGTTGCTGCCGTTGGGTGTTCTCCCAGCCGCTACAGCAGCCGCCGCAGCCGTCGCAGCCGGTCTCTGCTCTTCGCCTGCTCGGCCAACCCTCTCCTGACCGCTCGCCAGTGTCTTCTCCACCACCTGCTCACCTTCTTGTCTACGGCCCAGTGTTTCCGCCGCCAGACTTGTCTCCGGCCCGTCTTCCTCCTCGTTCCCCATTTGTGTCCCCTCTGCCGTCTCCTGACCCTACACCTTCATCCCACGTTTGGTCTCGCCGCCCCTTACGTGCTCGTCCTGTCTCTCCTGTCCTGCGCTCCCACCCTATGTTGCTCCGTTCTCACTCGTCTCGTCCTCCCCTTCTCCCGTCGCCTCCTCCCTCGTCACTTGTTGTTGCACCTCCCCCGCTGTCTGACATCATCCGTGCCGCTCGTCCCCTTGTCCCTCGGGTTCTTGCCTCTCTTGCTACCGACCCGTCTGTTCCTGTCTCGCGCCTTGACGCGCTTGTCGCTGCAGTCGCAAACTTTGCCTCTACCCGCCGCCTTGACTACGCTATGCTCTGGTCTCTGACCCTGCCCGTCCTCCGTCCGTCGGGGGTGCACCTGCCGTTGGCAGTGACGTTCTAGAGGATAGGCAGTACGAGCTTGCTTTCCTTTCCGAGGCCGCTCCCCATCTCTGCTCCATGCTCCTAGTCCCAGAGGGTGACCCAGACGCCTTCGCCATCCCGACCCCTCGCACCTACGCTGAGGCCACCTTGGGACCCTGGGCCTCTCAGTGGATAGCTGCCATGGAGCAGGAGATGGCATCGTGGAGGTCCACCGGCACTTACATCGACGTAGTTCCCCCTTCTGGGGTGAACGTAGTCGATGGTCGCTGGCTCTTCAAGGTGAAGCGCCACCCTGGAGAGCCGCCTGTCTTCAAGGCGCGCTACGTGGCTAGAGGCTTCAGCCAGCGCGAGGGCGTAGACTTCTTCCAGACCTTCGCCCCGACCCCAAAGATGACTACTCTTCGGGCGCTGCTTTACGTAGCAGCACAGCGCGACTACGAGCTGCACTCCCTCAACTTCTCTATTGCCTTTCTTCAGGGCAGCCTAGACGAGCAGGTCTACCTGCGCCGACCACAGGGCTTCACTGGTACCTTCCCCCCTGGGACCCAGTGGCTTCTCAGGCGCCCGGTCTACGGCCTGCGCCAGGCTCCTCGCGAGTGGCACGACACGCTGCGTGCCACGCTAGCAGACCTGCAGTTCTTTCCGTCCTCTGGTGACCCCTCGCTGTTTGTGCGTTCCTGCCAGACTCCATTCTACATCCTTGTCTACGTAGACGACGTGGTCTTCGCTACTGCTGACAGGGACGCACTGGCCTCTGTGAAGGCCGAGCTACTGAAGAGACACACCTGCACTGACCTTGGAGAGCTGCGTCGCTATCTTGGCCTGCAGATCTCTAGGGACAGAGCAGCACGCACCATCACTCTGACACAGTCACACTTGGTGCGTCAGGTCCTTCAGAAGTTCGGTCTTCAGTTCTCCTCCGCACAGCCCACACCTCTACCTGTAGACCATGGGCTCTCTGCTCCAGTTCCTGAGGGGCCAGTAGAGCCCAGCGGCCCCTACGCAGAGCTGGTGGGCTGCCTCATGTACCTGATAACTTGCACTCGACCAGATCTCGCATACCCTCTCAGCATCCTGGCTCGCTTTGTGGCCACTGGCAGACACCGACCACAGCACTGGTCGGCCGCTAAGAGGGTTTTGTGATATCTAGCAAGTACATCGGGCATGGGGTTAGTGCTTGGAGGACGCAGGCCAGTGGTCCTTACTGGGCACACAGACGCTTCTTGGGCAGACGACGCTGAGACTCTCAGGTCATCGCAGGGCTACTGTTTTAGCCTTGGTTCGGGTGCTATCTCTTGGAGATCCACTCGCTCGTCGTCTGTTGCCCAGTCCAGCTGTGAGGCTGAGATCTACGCCAGTGCCATGGCGGCGCAGGAGCTCCACTGGCTGACCTTCTTGCTCACAGACTTAGGTGAGCGGCCTAGCTCTGCCCCGGTCCTGTACGCTGACAACAGGGCCATGATTCTCTTGTGTCAAGAGCCTCGTCTTGAGGGCAGAGCGAAGCATATCCAGCTGCGGTACTTCCTCCTGCGCGAGCTACAGTAGCGTCGCCAGGCCCGCGTAGTTCACTTGGCCTCCGGTGCCAACACAGCTGATATCTTTACTAAGGCGCTTGCGCCTAAAGATCATCAGCGGCACTGTGTACAGCTTGGTCTTGTTCCTGTGGCAGCTCACTTGCTAGGACCTTGATTGTGTACTCCTCATTATATATACTTGTCTGACTAACCTTGTGGCTTTACTCCCAGTGACTGGACTAGTAGTGCCGCCCTAGCTTGCTTTTGTCTTGTCTGTACTCTTGCTGACTGGTCTTTGGACCCCTGCCTCAGTGGTTGGACTAGTAGTGCCGCCCTGAGCTGTGTGCTTCTTGCTTGCACCACCCCTTCTCTAGCCTAGGGGGTGTGTCAACTTATACATGGCACGCATGTAGAAGTTATAGGCTAGTATCGGTGTGTGCTCGTAGTGAGTACAACCCAACTGCTATATGTTCCCTGTTTCTCTTTCTAGTCATCATTCTCGTAATCTAACATGTGCTGGCTGCAGCACATTCTGGGAGGAGTAATGAGCTTTTGACGAGTATGCTGGGAGTGAAGGCAGGCTAGTAGGACTTGGAGGAGAGGCTCTTGACTTTGAGCATGTGTTCCCACGGGCCAGGCCAGGGCACCAATAGGACCACAGGGAAAGGGCAGGAACCGTTGAGAGGATGAGGGGGCAGTGCCGCATATCAGGCGAGAATCGTACGAGGTCATCGGGACTTGAAGGAGGAGAGGCTTTTGAACTTGAGCGTGTGCTCCCAGGGCACAACGAGCACCGGGCAGGAGCAGCTGAGAGGACGAGGGGGTAGTGCCACATACGGAAGGCGAGTGTATGGATTGTCTTGAAACCAAGCGAGAGGCTAGCGGGATTTGAAGGAGGAGAGGCTCTTAAACTTGAGCATGTGCTCCCAGGGCACCACGAGCACCGGGCAGGAGCAGTTGTGCAGGAGGTAGTCGCTCACACTGCCCTTGATGGCTCTGGGGGGGACAGAAGGGGCAGGGGCAGGGGCAGGGGCAGGGGCAGGGGGAGAGAGACAATTTCGGAAGAGAGGGAAGAGCAGTTGTGCTAGAGGTAGTCGCCCACTCTGCCCTTGATGGCTCTGGGGGGATGGGAGGAGAGACGAGGGGAGATGAGCAAAGGAGGAAGAGCATGGGAAAGGAGAGAAAGTCGAGGAGAGTGAGAGGTTGGTGGTGCGGCAGATAGTCGCTCACACTCCCCTAGAGGGGAGTGTTGTTGGGTGCTTAGACCACCCAATGGCACCCAGAGCGTGTCTCACCACAGCTCTCAGCTGCCTGGCTCCCACCACAAAGAGCTCTCTCTCCCGCCAAACCACCGGCTGGCGAATCCGAGTGGTGCATTCTCATCCCCGCCACTAAGAGCTCTATGTCCTGCCAAACAAACCGCATAGCGAATCCCAACCACACCACACGGCACTGGCCTTGCCTTGCATCGTAGAGCCGTCCATCCTCTCCTCGCCACGGCGCTCAGCTACGTGGCCCCCACGACCAGCAGCTCTATGTCTTGCCGCACCACCGCCTGGCAAACCTCAAATGTGATGTGAGTGGGACACAGGCACAGGCAATCCCACCCACAGCTCGCTTCACACCACCACCACCACCACTCCTCACCTCGCCACGGCACTGAGCTGCCTGGTCCCCACGACCAGCAGCTCTATGTCTTGCCGCACCACCGCCTGGCAAACCTCAAATGTGATGTGAGTGGGACACAGGCACAGGCAATCCCACCCACAGCTCGCTTCACACCACCACCACCACCACTCCTCACCTCGCCACGGCACTGAGCTGCCTGGTCCCCACGACCAGCAGCTCTATGTCCTGCCGCACCACCGCCTGGCAAACCTCCTGCCGCCGATCGCTGGCTTTGCGCGACACCCCGTGGCAGATGACCTGGTGCAGGGGGATGGGTTGCGAGGCAGGGAGAGACAGGGCAGTCGGACAGTAAGCAGCTGTCACATGGCTGGCTTTGCGCCACACACCAGAGCATTTGACCTGGTGAGGGGGGTTTAGGCAAGGCAGGGAGGGAGGGAGGGAGGCGGGAACTGGAGAGTCAGCAGCAGGTGTCACATTGCTGGCCTTGCTTTGCACGACACGCCGTGGCAGTTGGCCTGGCGAGGGGGAAGAGATGCCGACCACAACAACGGAGGGCGGGGGGAGGGGAGGGAGGGGACATAGGACATTCAAAGTGTGACAACTCAATGCACAACATTAAGTCTCGCGTCCATTCTCCATTGCCGCTTCCACCTCTCCATCCTGGCCGAACACGCAATTCACTCTCTCGTGCGAGCTAGCAAGCATGCCACTCGCCCCACTAGCATGGGCGAGCTAGCATGCCACTCGCCCCACTAGCATGGGCCAGTTTCCGGCATCGGTTCAGCAGAGCATTCACGCTCGTGCCCATCGCTGCTTCCGCCTCGCTGCTGGCGCCTGCATCACATGTGCTTCCCAATCGTGCCTTCCGTCTCCCATGTGCCGCTATGTTTCCTACTCTCTCGTGTGTGCGAACTAGCCACTCACCCCAGAAAAATGGGCCGGTTCCCAGTATCAGTTGAGCAGAGAATCCACCCTCGCGTCCATCGCAGCCTCCATCCCTCCCTCCGTGTACCCTATGCCACCTATGCACTCACATGTGCTTGCTACCTTGCCCACTCACCCGACTAACATGTGCCAGCTTCCGGTATCTATTCAGCAGAGCATCCACCCTCGCGTCCATCGCTGCTTCCACCTCGCTGCTGCTGCTGCTGCTGCTGCTGCCTGCCCCTCCCTGCACCTCGCTGCCGCCGCCTGTATAGCATGTGGAACCTATCATATCGCACCCTGTAAGACTCACCCCACTAACATGCGCCAGCTTGTACTGGGAACAGCTTGTACCGCGCCGTGCGTGGTCCATGCAGATGGATCTCGGAGAGGGGGACTTTACACCAATCTTTCCCCAGATTGTTTCCCAGGGTCTCGCCGACCTCGTCATCGTCCTCCGGCAGCTCTCCCTCCGGAATCTTCAGATCCTTGACTTCGTTCAAGAACTTGACGACCGACTTCTTGAACTCCAGAAAATACCCGGCGTACTGTGGTCGAGTGCTTTTCGCCTCGACCTTCAGCAGAGGAACTGATGCCCGGTGAACCAAGCTTTCTTTGGTTGTTGTCTCCACGTACGCATTACCCGCGTACATGCTTTTGCCGGGCTGAGGCGGGACCTCTACGCGGGCAGCCGATTCAGAGCCCTCTTCCTCTGTCTCCTCCTCCTCCCCCTCATCCCCCCGCTGCCCGCACCACTCTCCCTCCCCCTCCTCTTCTGGTCGTTCTCCGGTCAGATCCACTCCAGGATCTGCCAGTCCCTCATCTCTTAGTTTTTTCTTTGGCGCCCTTTCTTCCTGCTGCTGCGGTGTACAAATCGGATCATCTTCTACGTCATTTCCCTCAGACGAAGCCCCAACAGCATCCGCCTCTGCTTCGCCCCGTGCACACGTTATGAACGTTTCATCTTCATCCGCCTGCGTACAATCTGTTCCCAGTTGGCGTCCTTCCACAAGGGCGAAGGCCGCCTTGGGGCCGTGGATGCCCGATGGGCAGCCACGACCCTTGTGGAGTCCGGTCGGTTGAGCGACGCGGAGTGGTGGTGGATGTACGGAGGGGAGGTCGGTGCTCTGCAGGAGCTGGCTGTTATGGTGCTGTCACAGTCAGCGACTTCGTCCGAAGTGGAGCGCTACTGGTCCGCGCTGGCTCGTGTGTCCAGCGCCGCGACCGTAACCGCCTCAATGCCACGACCATGACTGACGTGACATTCGTCGCGTTCAGCAGGCACGCGCGTGCAGCTTTCGATGAGAAAGTGGCGGCTCGCACGAAGCTGTATAGCGATCTAAGCGATGGCAGCCTGAAGGAGGGCTGCACCATCCCTCCGCCCACGGCTGAGGAACCCGAGGCAGACGAAGAGGGAGGGGATGCAGACGAGGGGCAGTGTACCATCGATTGGGAGTCGTTTGGTAGCATCGGCGCGAAGGGGAAGAAGATGGCCCTCAAGGCCCGAGAGAAGAAGAGGGCGAAGAACAGCGGGTCCCGAAAGGGCAAGGAAAAGGTAATGGAGGAGGAGGAGGAGGAGGAGGAGGAGGAGGAGGAGGAGGAGGAGGAGGAGGAGGAGGAGGAGGAGGAGGAGGAGGAGGAGGGAGGAGGAGGAGGAGGAGGAGGAGGAGGAGGAGGAGGAGGAGGAGGAGGAGGAGGAGGAGGAGGAGGAGGAGGAGGAGGAGGAGGAGGAGGAGGAGGAGGAGGAGGAGGAGGAGGAGGAGGAGGAGGAGGAGGAGGAGGAGGAGGAGGAGGAGGAGGAGGAGGAGGAGGAGGAGGAGGAGGAGGAGGAGGAGGAGGAGGAGGAGGAGGAGGAGGAGGAGGAGGAGGAGGAGGAGGAGGAGGAGGAGGAGGAGGAGGAGGAGGAGGAGGAGGAGGAGGCGGAGGCGGAGTGCGACAGCGATGGCGGTGGACCTGACGACGGGGCTGTCAAGACGGCCGGGGGGGAAGATCCATGGGACTGCAGCGACGGAGATAGCGGGGAGGAGGAGGAGGAGGATGACGATGACGACGAGGCAGAGGAGGAGGAGGACGAGGAGGAGTAGGACGAGGTGGTGGAGGAGGAGGAGGAATAGGACGAGGCGGAGGACTAGGAGGAGGACTAGGAGGGGAAGGAGGAGGAGAGCACACGGTTGAGCGCGACCAGGAGGAGGACTATGATAGCTAGGAGGGGGACGATAATGTCTTAGATCTTCGGCCACAATCCTGCGCCCAACATCCTTCAGGCTGTTCAAAAAACTGGCGCCGGCAATGTGGATGCCGTCTGTAGATTTGTCCTTGTTGAACTCCTGGACCTGCAAGATTTCCGACCTGAAAAAGCCATTGTTAAGGTCAGCAAAAATGCTCCCACAGATACGGTTCCACCGACTCGCACCCACAGGAACGCTCCCACAGACACCACACCACACATACGCTCTGACAGAAACCACACCACAGTAATGTTACCACAAACGTAGTCACAGAAATGATCTCACAGAAATGCACCCACATAAACTTTCCCACAGATACGCTCCCACAGATATGCTCCCACAGATACGCTCCCACAGATACGCTTCTACAAAAACACTCCCACAGAAACGAACCAACAAATACGCTCCCACAGAAACCAAACCACGGAAACCACACCTTCGATTCGCTCCAACAAAAACCACACCACAGAAACGGTACCACAGAAACGATCTTACAAAAATGCACCCACAGAAACTTTGCCACATATACGCTAGCACAGATACGCCACCACATAAACGCTCACAGAAACGCCCCCACAAATACGCTTCCAACGAGACGTTGACATACAAGTGCTCCCAAGACACATACAAAGCCACAAAGCATCTGCAAATGTGATTCAGACCAGCAGAAGTGACCGCACCTTCTTCAATTCGCCCTCCAGCCACGGGTAAATGTGCTGAACGAACAACTCTTCCAAACCGTCTGGCAGAGGGACGTCGTGTCTTCTAATGTAATAGTCTCCCTCAACGCCACTGAATCCAGCCAGCAGAAAGAGAGCCTGTCGTGGAGGTGAGACGAGGTAGCACTTGCGCATCTCATTCTTCTCCCATCCTCCCAGATGTGCAATCTGCGGTTTTGGACAGAGAAGGTCGCAGAGGATCTGTGCAGTGGATCTTCTGAAGATGTGGGTGACCTTGCTCAGCAACCACTTGGCCGCTTTTATCGCCCAACCTACACACTTTTGTGCGTCTTGTACGGCAGCTCCCTCTGCTCGAGGTCATCCAGGGCGAAGAAGAGGTGCTTCGACGACCACTTCGTCGGGTGGGAGAAGTCGAGAGGCTTAATTATCTCCATCTTATCGGTTTATGTAGTACAGATGCATGAGGTCGTACACCCAGTGGATTCACAGAAACACGGCACCCATGGCGCACTGCTGCCAGTACAGGCTACGCGCTAGAAACTGGTGGTCCAACTTGTTTGTCGTGCACAACCTTCGACTTTCGGCTCGCTATGACGAGGACGGGCACCTTTGTGGGGGCGGCAGACGAGGTGTTGCTCGGAATCTCATGGCTGTACATGTTGGTGAAGCGGATCTGTCGTATGCTGCAACCCCTTCCCAGCATGTAGTGTGACTGAAGAATCATCACCTTCATCCCCAATGCCCTCCACAGAGTCAAACTGGGCTCATTCACAGCTTTGTCGAACTCCTTTATGGCAGCGGTCGGCAAGGTCGACTCGTTCAGCTGGCGAAACTAGTCCGCGGAGTAACAGTCGTCGAGGGACCCTCGATGTTGATCCTTGCCCTCTCTGCAGAAAACGCAGTGGAAGAAATGTTAGATCTAATCTTTGCTCAACGGCCTTGCTGTGAAGGCAAAGTAGGCAGAACACGCAGAACCTTACGCGATCTATTGAGCGTTCAACTGTCGTAGCTTGACCTTCACAAGATCTCGCGCAAATGCGATAAGGGCTATCATCAACGGAGCAGAGGCAGCCCAAGGCGTTCATCCGGGCTTTCATCATGCCCGCCGTGCATTTCTTTGGGGCTTTCCTTGCGATGACCTTCTGACCCTCTTTCAAAGCTTCGGCCTACTCCTTGGTCTGCTAAAACATGTACTCGACATATGCTTTGGGCCTCCACTTCGCCGTGCGTGGTCCATGCAGATGGATCTCGGAGAGGGGGACTTTACACCAATCTTTCCCCAGATTGTTTCCCAGGGTCTCGCCGACCTCGTCATCGTCCTCCGGCAGCTCTCCCTCCGGAATCTTCAGATCCTTGACTTCGTTCAAGAACTTGACGACCGACTTCTTGAACTCCAGAAAATACCCGGCGTACTGTGGTCGAGTGCTTTTCGCCTCGACCTTCAGCAGAGGAACTGATGCCCGGTGAACCAAGCTTTCTTTGGTTGTTGTCTCCACGTACGCATTACCCGCGTACATGCTTTTGCCGGGCTGAGGCGGGACCTCTACGCGGGCAGCCGATTCAGAGCCCTCTTCCTCTGTCTCCTCCTCCTCCCCCTCATCCCCCCGCTGCCCGCACCACTCTCCCTCCCCCTCCTCTTCTGGTCGTTCTCCGGTCAGATCCACTCCAGGATCTGCCAGTCCCTCATCTCTTAGTTTTTTCTTTGGCGCCCTTTCTTCCTGCTGCTGCGGTGTACAAATCGGATCATCTTCTACGTCATTTCCCTCAGACGAAGCCCCAACAGCATCCGCCTCTGCTTCGCCCCGTGCACACGTTATGAACGTTTCATCTTCATCCGCCTGCGTACAATCTGCGTATGAAAAATGGGCCGGTTCCCAGTATCAGTTGAGCAGAGAATCCACCCTCGCGTCCATCGCAGCCTCCATCCCTCCCTCCGTGTACCCTATGCCACCTATGCACTCACATGTGCTTGCTACCTTGCCCACTCACCCGACTAACATGTGCCAGCTTCCGGTATCTATTCAGCAGAGCATCCACCCTCGCATCCATCGCTGCTTCCACCTCGCTGCTGCTGCTGCTGCTGCTGCTGCCTGCCCCTCCCTGCACCTCGCTGCCGCCGCCTGTATAGCATGTGGAACCTATCATATCGCACCCTGTAAGACTCACCCCACTAACATGCGCCAGCTTGCGGTACCGGTTGAGCAGAGCATCCACTCTCGCGTCCATCGCTGCCTCCACCTCGCTGCTGCTGCCTGCCCCGCCTTGCTGGGCGTCTGCCCGCCACGCTGACACTGCGAGGAAACAGGTTACAGGGGCACTAAATCAGGAAAGCAGCGAAAAAAAGAAAAGAAACAATAAATGTGCTATAACAATGTATGAGCAGTCCATAACGAGGAATCCATGTATCCCCTGGTGTCTGTTGCTGCCCACCCCTCTTGGCTGGCCATCTACCAGTGGGAGGCACAGCACACCACAGCACAGCACAGCACAGCACAGCACATCGTGGCATGGCATGGCATGGCATGGCATGGCATGACACAACATTGCATGACATCGCATGGAAGAACGTACCTGTGGTGGGGTCCAGCACGTGCAGCACATAGATGTTGTCATTGCGCGCCTCAAGTGAAAGATGCGTCGCAGAATGCTATATATAGACACATGGCATGGCATGGCATGGCATGGCATGGCATGGCATGGACCAACGTACCCGTGGTGGGGTCCAGCACGTGCAGCACATAGATGTTGTCGTTGCGCCGCAGCAGGGTGAGCGCGTAGCGGAAGGCCTGCAGGAGAGGCGAGGCTCAGAGAGACACGGAAGGGAGAGGGTCGGACGGGGAGAGGTGGAAGGGGGTGAGAGAAACGGCAACGAGGAAGAGGCTAAGAGCACGATGCTGTCGCTGCGCGGGCCTCAGGAGAGTGAGCGCACAGCGGAAACCTGCACAGGAGGTCCGCAGAGAGGCATGGAAGCGTCAAGAGACTGGCATGAAAACGGCAAGGGCGCAGGGTAGGAACGAGAGGCTGTCGCTGCGCTGCGCCTCAGGAGAGTAAGGGCGTGGCGGAAGGCATGGAGGAGAGGCTCGAACATGTATGGACACGAGAGCAGCAGGGGGGAGATGGTAAATGGGACAGACAGTGGGAGGAAGAGGGTTTCAGGAGAGTGGGGGTGTGGCGGAAGCCCGCAGGATTGCTCCGACAGACGTAGACGAGGAGGGTGGAGAGAGGAGAGGTGAGAGGAAATGAAGGAGATGCCACACAGGCAGGTGCGGGAGATGTTGCTGTGTGGCATCTCCCTTGCTGCATATCAGGAAAGTGAGGCGTAGCGAAAGGCGTGCAGGTGAGGCTCAGATGAGGCATGGGTTCGCGAGGAGGAGCAGGTGAAAGGAGGGTGGGAGGAAGGGGATAAGAAGAAACAGTGGGGAGACGAAAGAGAGACAGCGGTGCGTTTGACCAGCAGAGTATCAGCAGCCACGATTCCACGCAGAGGGGTGTTTGAGTGAGAGCCCATTTGAGCTAGCTACCGCATCACCGGCCACGCCAGCAGCATCGATGCGCTCCACTAACCGCCTCTGCGCCGGCCGACTCGTTCACGGCCACAGGGATCCGCAGCGAGCCTCCCGCTAGCCTCGGCGCAGCGAGCCTCCCGCTAGCGTCGGCGCAGCGAGCCTCCCAGCGGATCCCTGAGGCCACAGGACTCGGTGTAAACTGGGACAATCCGCGCCCACGAGAACAGCCCTACGCGTTACCAGCAGCGGCAGCCCGCTGCACTCACCGCCTCGGCGCCGTCCGGCTCGTCCACGGTTACAAGGACCAGCGGCGCGCCTCCCGCTACCCTCGCTTGGCAGTGGATGGCGCTGCCCCTTGGCCGCTCGCGGACCCTTACCACGAAAAAAGAAGAGCCACCGATCCCAGCGCACCACTCACCGCCTCGGCGCCGTCCGACTCGTCGACGGCCACGAGGATCCGCGGCGAGCCTCCCGCGAGCCTCGGCGTGGGCGGAGCGGCCATGTCGTCTCCCATCTGTGGACGCTCGGTCGTGAGTAAGCCGGAGCAGCGGCGCCAGGCGGAGCGAGCTGAGTCCCTGGCGCTAGGCGCTATCTATTGAAGAGCTTGCTGCTGCTTCTGGTGGCTTCCATTGGCGACTAACGCGAGAGGCGATCGAGATTGTAGGGTAGCAATAGATAAAGAAAGAACAAAAAGGGAACTAACTGTACTTAATAGTGGACCTAGCTAACGGTATTGTGAAGAGATGGCGTGATTAAAGAGCCTGCATTACGGAGACGGGGAAGGTAGAGTCAATCGGGCGTCATCCTCTAACGGAGCAAGCGAGGTACCTCGGCGCCTTCAGTAGTACCCACAACACGAAATGCTACAGGAAAAACGCTAGGCACTAACGGCGGTACGGGGGAGGTGTAATGTCAGGGATTGTAGAAGCGGCAGCACGGCAAAGCAAGCGCGAGGACAAGATCGTCCATGGCGGAAAGGAGCTGGCATGCTGTTGCTGGGTCAAGATAGTCTCTAGGTTGCGAAGGGAGCAGTGAGAGAATTGCAGGCGGGGTCTGGGTGACTGCTACGGGGAGAACTCGTTAATAACTCATTGCGTGTGGTTTCTGAATTATGCTTATCTGTCTAACAAGATACAAATAGAAGGAATAGATAAATCTCAAAATGGCCCATTTGAGTATGCGTTCCGATACAAGAGGAACAAAAGGGTGGGTAACTAGAGAAGAGGAGGGAAGAAGGGATAAGGAGAGAGACAACACTGTAAGGGATGGATGAAAAGAGAGGGAAACCGAGGGGAGGAAAGGGGTGGTTGTGGGAGGGGGGAAACTCAACAGGAAACGGAATGCATACGGGTTTTAAGGCATCATTCACATTCACCCTATGTACAAACTAAGTGCACTCCCAAGGGGTTAGCTTAGCCTCCATAACTTTTGACCTCATCCTCACACTCAAGCCTGCTCAGCAGCTACCCCAACAAATATCGCAAGGTTTACCATCGGTCCCTCCACCTCCGGAACCCTCAACATGTCAAGCGAATCAATAACCACCACCTCCCCTCCTCCCTCCACACTCCTCAGAGCCGCTCTAATCCTCTCCTTCCCCACCTCCACTCCAGCAGGGACAGCCACGCTCGCGAACGAGAGCCCTTGGATGCTCAGCTGTAAGAGGTGGATCTGACAGCTGTGGCGGTAGAACGACTTGACGACTCGAATCCCATGACGAGGCTTCCCCCCTTCCACTAAATACACTCCCTTCAGCTCCCCCTTCGGCACACTCTCTCTGGCCCAGAGGGAAATCAGATTGCCTACTGCTGTTTCGACCCCGAGTGAAGGTTGCGGGCCCAAACCCTCTCGTTTCATCTTGCTTGCAGGAATCATTCTCCAGTGGTGCGCCTTGTTCTTCTCGTCACTGGACAGGGCCTCGATGCGCTCCCAATAGTAGTGATCCAGCACCATTCCCGACTTCTTATTCTTCAGTATGACGTACAACCCCCCCTCGATGTCTTTAATCTGCCACTTATGGTGGTCATTAGAGAAATCATTGTCATAAGCGCCGATCCGCCGGGCACTGTAGTGATCCAGAACCGAGCCTGTCGCGTGGTTCTGTAACACGTGGTAACCCTTTTCGGCCTTCACTGCTCTCCACTGCTGCTCCTTGGCGCCCCACTCATAGTCAACAGCCTCAATATTCTCCTCAGATACAGCCAGCGCCTTCCCACTGTCCCGGTTGAAGATATAACTCCAGGGTCTATCTACAACTAGAGCAAGACTCGCAGGCCCTTCAGAACCCTGCACCGCTTTGCACCACTTCTCGTCCTTCTCCTCCGCCTCCCAATGTGCCTTCCCACCAACGTTCCCCGCCGGAGTAATCGTCCAGTGATGGTGGTACTGTAGCTCGTCCTCATCATATGCCCGAATGCTTATCCCGTAAAAATGATCCAGAACCTTCCCACTGCCTCGGTTTTTTATCGCCCAGTACCCGCCACAAGTGCCTCTGAGCTCCCATTGGCTGTGATGGTGACTCACGTTACATTCACTCGCGTCCATGAGGCTTCCCCACCAGGAGTGCCTCAGTACGAAGCCAGACGCGCGGTTCTGGATGAAGAAGTAGGACCCCCCCACGCTCACTGCGCGCCACTGCTGCTGCAGGCTCCCGCCTTCAAAATCCCGCGCCTCCACCTTGCTGCTGGACTGCGTGAGAGCGACTCCGGTGGCTCGATTGCGGATGTAGCTCCAGGGGAAGAGCACGGGCAGGGTCGTGATAGAGTAACGCTCCACTTCATCCGCCTTGTCCGCCTTAGCCTTCTCCGCCTTGTCCGTTAAGCCAGGCCTGAGGTTTAGTGTAAAGTCTGGCATGGATGTTGAGGTGAGTTCTGCCATGTCGTCGGCACGGATGGCAGTCCACTGACAGCAGGTGCTGGACCCCACCAACCCGATGCTTCCTTGCACCTTCTCCTCGCAAGTGTTCTCCAGGAAAGCTTCGCCTTCGCGGCTCTGCAGCATGAAGATCTCGAGGCCGTTGATTTCCGCCAGCAGCCACTGATTTCCGCTGCTCGTCAGCACGTTGTCTCTCACCTGCGCTTCTGAAAAATCACCGTCCTCACCGGTGACGAGAATTGTGAGCAGAAATCCGGAAGAGCGATTCTGAAGGCAGGTGTAGCCGTCTGTGACTGAAACCCCCGCCAGTGCTGGTTGACTTCGCCAGGAATCAAATCTACCGCTTTAACAGAGTTTCCTTGAACAGGAGTGCAGTTGCCAGGTTTGCCGGAATGCGTGGACGGCTGCTGATGCGATTGCTGCAGCACCCTGCCGCTCCTGCGATTTCGGATGTACTCCCAAGGTCCGACATAGTATACAGCTCTCGGCGTGACCTCCTCGACCCTCCACCAGTGGTTCGGGTTCCTCTCATCCCCGCTATACGCCATCACCGTACCGAGACAACGCGCCAGCACCATCCCTGTAGAGCGGTTTCTGACGGCGAACAAGCCCTTTCCGACGTCGTAGAGCTTCCACTGGTGGTTGAAATTCGACACGTCAGCATCTTGAACGGCGACGACGTCTTCTCCTCGCCAATGACCGATCGAATCTCCCGATTTCCGGTTCTTGATCATGTGGTAACCGTCTCCGACGTCCAGAAATTGCCACTCTTGACTCTCGTCAGAAACGAAGTTATTACGAACTTCCGTCTCCTCCACTTGAAGGTTCTCCGCTGCCTCAGCCTCATGTTCGCTTCTCTTTCCGGATTGGCTGCACCGGCTGCTTTGGGCATCGGGGGTTTCGTTCTTCAGAGAATCCGGCTTTCGACCGGACAAGATAGTGACTAGGTCATCGTCCTGAGAGAACCATGTTTCCTCTAAGGCGTCGCGAATTGTGTACCACATCTTGATATATGTCCGGACGACGCCTCTTGTCGAGTCCCTTGAGAACGGGCGTCAAAGCTTTCAATCATTTACTCTTGCTCGACGTTCTCCTGGCAGCAGATACGATAAAAATTTCATTGCCACGGTGCAAGCTGCAATTGACGAGACAAGACGAGACAGCCTTGCTGTGAGGAGGTGGGGTGAGCCGAAAAGGCCGGCGGAACGCTCGCGTTGGAAGAGGAATAATTGAAGTTGGTAGGCGCCAAGCGAAACACTCGGCTTGCGTTGCGTTGCTCGAAGCAGCCCGTCGATCGCTTGACCTGGCTGTGCGGGAATGGTGATGCATGCTTGCTGCGTTAGGCAGCCACTGAAAACGAGCCATTGGAGGGTGTGTGAAGTCGAATGCCAGAAGAAATTCGAGCGTTATGCGAACACGTTCGATCTGAACGTAAACATCTTGATGTTTACGAGCAAGACACACCGTTGATCTGATCGCTCTCCCTCAACCAGCGGTCCGATTGACCGTTAGGTCTCTGTCACGGAGTGCAAGGGAACCCGTGGAGGGTTTCGCCTTGTCAAATTCAATTTCGCTTCTTTCGCCCTGCGAGAGTTCTTTCGCTAAGTGGGGATGTTGCATTGCACCTCGCAAGGAAACAGAAGTGCACACTGTACGGGAATTGGTTCGGGGTCGAATCGAAAACCGTCATAAAGCACAGCGAGGCATGCCATGATTGGCTGGGTCAGCGTAAGACTCTTGACGTGCCTGCTGTGCCGTGCTGGCACTTCGCCCTGCATGACGCGGCTAGCTTGGATCCCCGATTAAACCCAACTCGAGTTCCGCAATTGGCTCCGACGGAACACTTTTCAAGTTCGGTTGTGGTGGAGCGGAAGAATCGAATACATAAAACCCTGTCATGAACTCGAAACCCGTAGGTCTTGTCCCCTGCTTCCTCCGTACCCTCTTTCCCGTGTTATGTGGACGTAGTATTTCTATGAACCAGTCTCTTGGGCAGCTGTGTCAGGTTAGGTAGCAAGTGATTAATCAAGCCAGCTCGACTACCAACTGCCGCCTGCCCAGAAAGTGTTATCATCCTCGCATCACAGCAGGCTCCGTCGACTATTGGCTCTGTCGTCGTTCCCCGGTTCACATACGTTTACGTACACGAGGCCGACTCATGGCGTTATCTCTGGAACACATATCATCCTTTCAACTGGGTCACGCATTCTCACATTCTATACACGGGCAGCCTTTAGCGCGTACATCCTCCACACCCTCTTCCGTCTCTCACTCCAGTCAACGGCTAACCGTTCAGTGCGGCCGGCACGCCGGCTCCCTTAGACGGCCGAGTGAGTGCAGTTCCCCAGCCGTTACCATGGCCACCTAGTCGAGCCACCCCCGTACTACCCAGTCACTACAACGAGCCCAATCCATCCATCCATACATGGGGTTCACTGTTCACCCATGAGAGACGCTCGGTTACGTATATCCTGCTTGCCACTTTCACAAGCCTGCGTCTTCCCTCCCTCCTCTTGTCTCTCGCGCCGCCGCCACGCCCCTCGCATTCCGCTTCCCCCTACCGGTTCCGGTTCCCCCTCCCATTCAGCAGAGTCCACCAGGCGGAAGGCGAAGCCCGCGCGTTCCGCGGATGCACAGCGCGCGGGGAAGGGCGGGAAAGGGGGCGGGGGGGCGTCACTGAGTGAGGAGGTGTTTTCGCTGGGGAAGGGATGGCTGGTGGACCCCGCCGCGCTCATAGGCGGAGAGAGTGGCGGGGCGGAAGGGCGCGGGGGAGCGGACGGCGGAAGGGCAACGGGCGCGGGGACGAGAGGGGGAAATGAGGCGGTGGCGGTAGCAGGGCTGGATGGCAGGACTCGAAGCACACATAAACTGCTCAAGGTGAGTGTGTGGGCGCGTGTGTGTGTGGGGGGGTTGGGTGTGTATGGCTGCGCGTGGGTGTGTGTGTGGGGGGGGAAAGGGGGGGGGGGGGGGGGATGGGAGGAGGGGATGAGTGTGGGTGGGCGTCTGTGGGTGTGGCTGTGGGTGTGGTGGCGTGTACGGGGAGGGGGGGTTGAGTGGGGGTGTGTGTGGCTGTGTGTGTGTTGGGGGAGGGGGGGTGTGTGGGATGGGGGGGTGTTTGGTTGTCACAAGGACCAACTTTATCTTCTCCCCCCCTTCCCTTCCCCCCCACCTTCCACCCTCTCCCTCCCCTCTTTCCCCTCCAGATTTTCTCAGGCACCAACTGGGTGAGCTGTCTTCTGTCCCTTTCCGACCACAAGGTCCGCCCCATGATGGAGATGGTGCGGGCGCCATGCTTACCCCTCACCCTTCTCTCCGCAACCCCCACTCCTCTTTCTCCTCAATCCTCCCTCCCTCTCCCCTCCAGATTTTCTCAGGCACCAACCGGGGCAGGCGTCTTCTGTCCCCTGCGGACCGCAACGTGCGCCCCATGATGGAGATGGTGCGGGCGGCGGTGTTCGACATGCTGCACTCGATGCTGCAGTCGCCGCAGCGCCTGCCAGCCAACACCCGCTGGCTGGACCTCTACAGTGGCACTGGCAGCGTGGGCTTGGAGGCGCTCAGTAGAGGGTGTGGGCAGGTGAGATCGGGTCTCAGGTGGTGCGGATGAGGCGTTCTGTACTGGGCGTTCTTCACGGAAGCGTGGGCTTAGAGGCACTCCGTAGTGGTGTGGGCAGGTGAGCGTGGGGGTCAGATGTGTTCGACACGCTGCACTCCATGCTACAGTCGCCTCAGCACATGCTGGCTAATGCTCGCTGGCTGGGCCTGTGCAGCAGCACGGGGAGAGTGGGGCTAGAAGCCCTGCGCAGAGGGTGTGGGCAGGTGAGCGCGGGGTGAGAGGTGTTGGTCGCATTGCACGTTCTTCCTTGCCCTTCCTCTTACTCAAAATCCTTTGTCTTTTTCCCTTGCTCCTTTCTCCCCCTGCTCCGTTGCTCCCTTGCTCCCTTGCTGCATTTCTCAGGCGCACTTCGCCTGGGTGATCTCATCCGTGCTCTCCCCCAACATCCAAGCCTGCGTCATCCCTCCTGCCTTGCTCCCTTGCTCCGTTTCTTCAGGCTCACTTTGTGGAAATGGACCCCTGGGTGATCTCATCCGTGCTCTCCCCCAACATCCAAGCCTGCTCCTTCTCCTCTACCGCCACCATCCACCCCCTCAAAGTCGAGTCGTTTCTCCAGCAAGCAGAGGACAGAGGAGGTACGTACGACCGACCATACGAGGCCATGCCCTAGCCCCTTCCTCAGCCTCCCTCTCACCCTCCTCCTCTCTCCCTCCCTTTTGGCCTCCCCGCCCCTCTCCCGCGCTCCCTTCTTCCACGCCCTCTTCTCTTTGTCTCCCTCGCTCCTTCCCGTGCATTCCTGTTCTCTCACCCAGCAACGTCTTTCCCTTGCCTCTGTGCCTCCGACATAATCGTCTCCGACATTGTCATCTTCTCTTTGTTTCTGTCTCCCCCCTCTCCGCCCCCTCTCCAACGTCTGCATGTTATGATCCCATCTCCCTGCTTCATGTGTCTACTCGTCTTAACTTCAATTCCGTCTCAACTCTCCCCTCCCTTCCCTTTCCTTCCTTTCCCTTCCTTCCATAACATACCGGTGTCTTCTCTCACTCTTGCAGCGGATTGGTTGGGAGGCCCCTTCAGCTTCATCAGTGTGACCCCTCCATATGAGCTCGTCGTCTACAGTCAACTAATGGCGCAGCTGGCTCTGTCACCCCTCTTACACGAAGACACATGCATGGTGCGTAATTATTTGCCGCCAACCCGTGACAGCCATGGCCCAGTTCGACTGGTTACATGTATGGATCGTAATATCATGCATGCATTTGCCGTCACAGCAATGGCAATGTATGAAGCAGTGGTGCAGGCATGTTGGTAGTCGTTGTCGCCATCTGTTTTGGAGAATCGTCACGAAGATTCCTCCATTCTGCATCCCTTACAACCACCCATCTTAACTTGCTCATGCTGTCAGGTGGTGGAGTATCCTCTCAAATCAAGGGATGAGATCTTGGACACATGTGGACCATTGCATAAGGTGATTGCTAGTAGTGTTCAGGTGATTGTGTGTCATTCCTGTTGCAAAATGCATGTCTTTCATTTCTTCCCCCCCTCGTATCTTGGCAATGCCCTCTGTCTGAGACTGCATGAACCGTTTCTCGTGTTAACTCCAACTCTCTTGACACTATCACGCCCACTTGCGTTGCCCCTTGACTCCATGTGTGCAGATTAAAGATCGAAAGTACGGTCGAACCAATGTGGCCATCTATGGTCCTGCCTGGGCTCTTCATGATATTCAATGATGCCATGTTGTTTGTGTATGATCCAGCATGCATTCCCAGGATCACAAACTATGTGGGATTGTATGCATGAAAGCGACATTGTTATCATCAATGCATTTTAACGGAGGCTAATGCGAGGTGTTAAACACTAGTTTTTGGTAAATCATGTAGGAAGGAAACGTTGATGTTGATTAATTCATAGCCTCCAACTACTTATCAAGATTAGCTGAGATGAGTTGTGTGCTGAACACATCCTATCTGTAACTTGGACATTCCGAGTGGAGGTCAGCGCGAGCGTCATGTTGGAGTCTCCATCCAGGACTGTATTCGCGACTGGGATTCAAATACTGTAATAGGTTTCACAGTCCAATCCCTAGGCAACATTGTCCTGGGGATGCTCGCAATACAACAGGTTTGGAGGTATAGAGACCCTCGTTTTGTAAAAAACTTGTGACGATATTGCTGGTAGAAGCTACGTTCAAGGACCTCTGTATTCTGTTTGTCTGCCAATAGCATGTCAATGGCTGCATACAGGCATTCGCGCCCATTCATAGAATCAGTAAGGTACGCAGGACCCCACTAACCAGCTTCTTGATCCACCTGCCTATGCCTGACCGAGGGCTGTCTTGTAATTACAGAATTCGAGCATTCAAGTCCTTTCGCGATGAGCCGCAAGAGATAAAGTTCACTCCTGGCTTCAACCTCATAGCTGGTGCAAATGGAAGTGGCAAATCAAACATTTTAGGTGAGCGTGAAACCCACAAACTTGCATTGTCAAGCATCAGTGAGTCCCATTTCTAATCGAGTTACCGTGTTGTTGTTACAGATGCGATCCACTTTGCTTTTGGCGAGTCATATCATGCATTGCGTGTGCAGTCCTTGGCCGGACTCCAATCTTCTGATACGAAGGAAGGATGTGAGATTTCTGTGGTAGTACGTACATCCAAAGGGGGAAGTGCAGTCGACAGAATCTGTATCGACGCAAAGCTTCTACCGGACCAAACTAGGCAGACAAAAGTCAATGGGAAACTTAAGACGTTGCGTGAACTCAAGGTAAGAAAATCAAGTCTGGACTGTTTAATACAACTGTTTGATACTTCATATGCTCACGTCTTAACCGAACAGGACTTTCTTCGAGAGAACCGTATCACGCTGGATGCTTGCACAAGCCTGAAGCAGGCTCAGGTCTCCGAGCTGGCGAATGCAAACGATGGTGCTGTACTGTCAAGCCTCATATCGGGAGTGTCTGGAGCAGGTGCTTACAAATCGAATTATTTGCCAGATGTATCGATTCTGTAACGACTCCTCAAGCTACTTCAACTCAATACTTATTTCATTGTCATCTCATTGGCCTCTGTATCTCTTCCCTGCCTTTCTCCGTGGCATCAACCACAATGATCCAGCAAGGTGGGAAGCGGAGGTGAAGAAAGCTGAAGAGGTTGTGACGAAGACGGAGAGGAGCTTGCAGGAGATAAACACAAATACTTGTTTGCTTGAGACAGCGACAGCTGCTGATACAGCCAAGGTCAAAGAAGCTCATGAAAGATGGAAGGTGAGCCATTGTGCTTTTGCCTTTTCATTGCATCCTTCAGTGTCATCAACCTTGTCCGTCATTGGTTCAGATGTGCAAGAGGCTTGGCGAACTTGGGAGAGCGATACAGAGCCACGAGACAGAAAGAATAATCTCTTTGGAAAACCAGGCCAAAACAGTTCAAGCGCAATTGAAGACAGTACATGATGGCATTCGTTCTATTGTCACAGAACGTGATCAGAAGCAAGCCAGCATGCGTGAGCTGAAGGTGTCAGAGAAAGTGTGTGAAGACATCCACGGGAAACGGCATGCTGAAGCACTCTGTAAACTTGCAGAGAATGAGGAGGAGATTCGAGTGCTCCAGGTACAGCAGGCAGCTGCACAAGATTTTCAATCGGCTCTGGCAAAGCTTGATTCTGGTCTAGAAGAGACATTTCATGAGAAAAATCTCCTCAGCCATCAACTCAAGGAGCACCAGGATACGATCACTCGCTTTGAAGAGCTGGAGCTGCTATCAGGTGGGAAACATCCAGCAGATTTGCTAAAGGAGGAGGCAGCACAGTTGTTTGATCTGAAGCAAGTCCTCAAACACAAGCAGGCGTGTCTTTCTCAGTGTGGTGACTCACTTGCTGAAGTCGAGAGAGAGCTTGCTCTTACCAAAAATGCTACCAAGTCTCTGGAGGAGGAGAAATCAGGGTACAAGCCAAGGGAAGAGCTGTTATCACGGCTGCAAGATTTGCAAGCAGAGTTGCAGAGGCAGACTCAGGAGCAATATGGCATGAAGAGGAAGGAATCTGCCTTTAAGACTCAGCTAGAAGTCCTGAAAGCGCAGCTTGGAAGGCTGGAACCCACGGATTTGAAGTTTCCTGCTTGGCCATTGCACTCTGTTTTCCGCTTCAAGACAGATCCAAAAATCGGTTGCTCCAAATTTCTCACTGCGTTGGATGTCATTGCAGGTGAGTGCAGGCGTTTTGAAGCCCAAATTTTCCTGCATTTTTTTGCGGTTTCCATTTTTGTAACATCTCCCATGATTCTGCAGGTCAAATCAGCTCCACGTGTATCGTGGAGAGTATGCATGATGCTAAATCTCTATTGGACCTGTGGGAAGACCTCAGGCATCCAAGCATGTTCAGCCGAATCTGGCCTTTGAAATCTCTGGTTGTGGATGACAGAGGACACGATCAGTCATTTGTTAAGGAAGAGTTTCAGGACGGATCTGTGGTCCTTCCTCTTGATTTGCTTGAGTTTGATCATCACTTTCGTCCAGCCCTTGCTAAGCTTTTCAGCAGCTTCGTTATTGCAAGGGACGACACTGTTGCAGCTGACCTTGCCTTGAAACACGGCATCAGGAGCGTGACACTTGATGGAAAGATCCATAAGAGAGGCTTTCTGTCTGGCGGTTGGAGAGGTAGCAGGGCCCCCCGGGTGATGGTGACCAAGTTTGAGCATGACAGAGTTGAAAACGAAGTTCAGAAGACAGCGTTGTGCGTTGCACAATCTGGACAGGTGAGAATTATCTCACTGTTATCATGTTCGTTCACTCTTAGCAAAGTGAGTCTGACTTCTTCATATTTTTGCCTCATTTGCAGGAGCTGAAGCACCTTGCGCTGGAGGTTGAGAAGGTGCAACAGGACCTTTCAAGGCTTGATGCCATGTTAGGAGAGACAAGAGCTCTGGAGAGAAAGGTATGTTTCCCGTGTATGTCTTTCTGACAATGGTTCTCAGGGGTCTTAAAAAGCAGCTCATTTTTCAGATGAAGCTCGTTCTTGATTCGCATGCACAAGCTAAGCTGGCTTGCATTGACGCTCAAGATGCCCTCGTGGCAGTGGAAGGGAAAGTGAAAATGAAGGAATCGCTAGTTGCACACCTTCGAAGGCTTCTGGATGCTGGCTCCGATCATTCAGGTGGTGCGTTTTCCACTTGTAAGTCGGAGACCTTATCAGCCGTTCAAGACATTGAGTCAAAACTGAAGATGCTGACAATGAAAGCAGCAAAGCTCACGGATAAGAAGCTGCTGATAGAGGAGGGAATGGATGGCAGCACCACTCTGCAAGACATGGAGGAAACCATGAGAACGCTCCTTCAACACCACAACGCTATCAAGTGCGAGATCAGCCAAATTGAGGGGGATATGCAGAATTCTGTACGTGAAAGGGAAGAGCACAAGGCGAAGGTGGCACTGGGCATTGTTGACATTGAAATTCTGGAGGCACAGCACAGCAAGCTCCGTGATCGACTGCTAAGCCTCAATTTAGATTTGAAGAACGTACTAGACGGGATTGCAGAATCAACAGATAGGATATCAGAAGTGGTGGAAACCCTGGTGAGCTAGCTTACGATGTCCCTCCTTTTTACACAAGATTTTGCTTTGTTCCATGTAATTTTGACTTTGTTGGCCCACATTCACAGGAATCCGAGCTGCTGCAAAATACAGAGGAAGAAGATGCTTTGATTCCAGATGACATGGACCTGGATAGCAATGTACTCGTGGAGCCTGAAGCAGAGTGGAAAGCTCTTCTCCATCGCATTTCAAAGTAATGTTATTCTTTCTTTGCCTGATCCCTTGTCGAGTTTCATAATTTTCACCCGTCTAACTGCATTTTCATGTCAGGCTGAAGCATGCGAAGGTGTCAGAGCAAGAAAGGAAAGCTTTTGGTGAGCGCATGTCCACCTTAAAGATGTTCAAAGACCGGGCAGCATCCATTGTGACCTCGATGAAAGTCCTGAATGACGGAATATCGCGTGCGAAGTCAAAGGTATTCCTTTTCAAACTTGATAGCGCCTCGTTACCCTGCAAATGCTCTCTTCTACCCACTTTCTTGCATACCCTTAATTCTCCTTTCAACGTCTCATACCTGCTTCCGTCTCCCGTTTTCCTTCCAAAGGCTTCCACTCTCGTCAAGTGAGCACATTTTGTAATTATGTTAATCGAGGATCTTGTCAATGCAGGTGGTGATGGTTAACAAAGACACCTATGATCGTGTGAAGTCGTCTTTTCAGAATCTATGCCAGCATCTCCTTCCAAACAAGTCTGTCAACCTCATTCAACTCGGAGAAACTGTTGAAGATGGCATAAAGATTGCCTTCTCAAACAGCCAAGCACCAGATGATTCTGCAATGTCTTGGAACACGAACCTCAATCAGCTCTCTGGTATGCTGATGCATGCGTGTGAGATTGGCTACTGATACGCTTTCTAGCATGCTGACATGTGACTGATATGTGGAACCGTCTCTGGCGCAGGTGGACAGCGGACTCTCCTGAGTGTTGCACTGGTTCTGGCTATTGCCCAGTGCAGCCAGAACTTTGTGTACCTGATGGATGAGGTGGACGCTGCTCTGGATGAGGAAAATCAAAGCAGGGTTGGCGCTCTTGTGCAGAGCGAACTTGCAAAGAAGGGTCAGGTCCTCTGTGTGAGCCACAATCGGGCATTTCAGGCGTTTGCAGATTCTGTGGTCCAAGTCACCATGGACAATGGATCCAAGATCAGCTATGCCCAGTTGGAGTCAGGAAAGAGGGCAAAGCACATGGATAGCTGATTTTGTTTCCAATACCTTTCCTGCACCCATAACTAGCACTTCTCATTGTGTTGGTGCTTCTAAACCTAAACAGCACATGCTCATTCATCAGAATAATCCTAACTCCAGGGTTTCATGCTGCATTTGCAACCTAAATGCTTGTTAGCTGTGGGATGGTATCATTTTCCAGATGGCCAATTACCATGTATGGTACATTTGCTGCACATGGTACACTCAAGCTGCTGCAATTGCCTCATTCCTGGTGCAACAGGAAAAATCAGGACTTGACCAGTATGTCTAGCATGGATTCCTATCATTGGTACAGGATCATGGCATCTCTTGCATGTTCAGTAGACTCCGTCTTTACGGAGTCCAGTGACTTAGGTGTTGATGCCCCTCCGCTGCCGCTCCCTCTGCCAAAGCCAGCTGTCTCCCCATACGGCCTCGGACTCTCTGCCAATTTCCTCACCAACCTCCTCAGCTGGCCCCGCTCATGTCGTGAACTCTCCTTGTCATACACGCCTGCACTCCCCGCCGCAACCCCATAAAAACCCTCTCATACCATCTGCCCCCACACCTCCTACAACCCCTCCTTCCCCCACCATCTCCCCCGGTCTGAGACCCATTTGAGCCAGTATTTGATCCACCTCATCCATGTTCGAATTGTCAGAGAGCTCTGACAGCCAATCAGCTGCCTCCGTCGCTCCCCCTGCCCTTGCACCGCTGTACCCACCATGCCTGTGCAGCCCTTCCCTGTTAGCCATGTTGCTGTGCCTGACTGAGCTGGTCTCGGATATGGACGCAGAGGAAGGGAGGGTGACACGCGGATTAATAAAAAGTTGGGGGCCACTGCTTCTTGTGGTGATGTCAAGCACAGAGGCATCAGCAGTAACGGTATCAGTAGCACCAGCACCAGAAGCACCAGAAGCACCAGATGCACCAGGAACAGCAGCAGCAGAAGCAGAAGATAGGAGCCGTTGGGAGGTGAGAGGAGATGGTAGCCCGTTTCCGCTGCTGTGTCGCCTCAAGCTACTGCTGGTGCTGCCAGAAGTGTGATAGGTGAAGGAACTCCCACCGTCCACAGACCCACTGGGGGAGGGTGAGCGGATGAAAGAAGCGAGATTCTGAATGCTATGAGCAGTGGAGGAGGAGAAGGTACGCGTGCGAGCGAGCTGTTCCCTTCTGCTGACTGCGATGATACTACCCTTGCCAGCTGTACTGTCCCAATCGCCAGCTCCGCTGCTTGCTGCACCGTCCCAATCACCAGCTACACCACTAATGGTGCTGCTTGCGCGGTTAAGTCTCCTGTTGTGTGATGGGCTCGGTCCACTGTTGGCACTGCCGCTGCCTTGACCCCAGCCTATGAGCGAGGAGAGGAAAGAGGAGGAGAAGTGGGAACTTGGAGCGGATGGGGTGGAGGCGAGGGGCAGGGCATAGTGGGTAGAGGGGGCAGCAGCAGCAGTAGAAGAGGAAGCCGCAGTAGCAGCATCAGAGGGAGCAGCACGCAATGCACTGCGACTGGATGTGGTGGATGTTGGGGAGGGTAACGGGGATGTGAGGCGGCCGTGATGGTGGCGGTACTCTCGCCGATAGTGGGGGCTCCTGATGAAAGCAAGGAAGACGTTAACAGAAAAGGGAGAACCGATTTGAGCAATGCACGAAGAGGAAGAGCCAATCACGATAACGTACAATCGGCGATAGTGGAGGCTCTCAAATGAACAAAAAGAAAAGGGAACAGCAGCAGTGGGAGCTGCTGGGAAGGGAATGAGTTGGTCGAGAAAGTGAAACATGAGCGGGCTCGATGGAATAAGCGGGGTCAGCATGCACACGATGTTAGCCATAAGGAGAGGAACAAAACAGTGTAGGCAGAAACATTACACCAAGCTCAGATAGGCATGACCTCAGATGGAACAAAAGCAGCGGAAATATTTCCGCAATGCTAACTGTCAACAGGGACCAGGATCATGGAAGACCCAACTGTCGACAGGGACCAGGATCATGGAAGTCGCAGCTGTGTGTTTAGTGCTAAACAGGGAAGATGTGCAGCTGGGCTGACGACACTCATTTCTGGGTTCTGGATAAGGCTCACAGAAAGGCACAGCTTTCGAATGCATGCTGCAGCCGCCACCCTCATGGGTTTGACGCTGACACTACTTTCATGAAGCCTGCACAATTGCTCTCCACCAATCTACCACCCGGGTCTCGCCCTCCATCCTCACCTTCGTGTGTAAGAAGTTTCGTTTTGAGAGAAGTTTCGTTTTGAGAGAAGTTTAGATTTGAGACGTCTCGAAACTAAACTTCTTACACACGGAGTCCGCACAGTGCTCTCCACC